GTAGACATATAAATAAAAAATAAATAAAATTGCTCTCCAGGCGAAAAATTAATGACATCTTCTTTGATTTCATTACTTAATTAAACGAGCACCTAATTTCACCTGAATACAACACTATAATTATGAATAAATCAATGGAAAAACGTATCCCTGTGAGCACACTTCTGCTTTGTAGCTAGCTGTCAAGCGGTCATGTGGATGGTGGGTGGGTGCTCTGGTGTGGTTTGCTTCTTCTTTCCTATCAAACATCTATCGTCCTCATCTCCCCTTCTTCTTTTTTTTTATGTGTGTTACTCTCTTGTAACACCTCTAATCTTCTGGGGCTCAAATGACCTTATGCAGTTGTGAGCGCCGTAAAACCTCTACTAAATCTTTAAAAAAAAACAACAACAAGCGGTCACCCACCCCAATATTGAACTAAAGCCAAATGTTTATCGTTCATGTTTCAGGCAACATCAAAATGTCGATGGTGAATATAAAAGAACTTTGCTCTCGATGGGCCAGAAGGAGACAAATAGGTGAGATTACCCAACATAACATACTCAAAAATGTCCAAGACGGATATACCCACTGTCGAGGAGAAACGAGGTTGCTCTTCGTCTTTGCCCTTTGCTCTTCTTTCTTTGTACTTTGCCCTTTGCCCTTTTGCTCTTCCTTCTTTGTTCTTTGCCCTTTGCCCTTTTGCTCTTCCTTCTTTGCCCTTTTGCTCTTCCTTCTTTGCCCTTTGATCTTTCTTCTTTGCCCTTTGCTCTTTCTTCTTTGCCCTTTGATCTTTCTTCTTTGCCCTTTGCTCTTTCTTCTTTGCCCTTTGATCTTTCTTCTTCACCCGTTGCTCTTCCTTCGTTGCCCTTTGCTCTTTGCCTTTTGCTCTTTATTCTTTGCCCTTTCTCTTCCTTCTCTGCCCTTTGCTCTTTGATCTTAGCTCTTTGCTCACACGACCGTCTAATTTGGAGGAGAAAGTGGTTGTCTTATACAGGTGGACAACTTGGACGCTGTCATCATCATCATCATCCGGTGCCTTGCCGACTAGCGAGGGCGATCATAGACCTCAACTTACATCTGCTGTCTTGCGTTGCAGCGATGGTGTCTGTTGTTCTTGTTGCTCCCAGCCATGTTAACAACTTGTCCGGTATCTTTTCCCTCTGTCTACCTCTGCCTCTCTTTCCTTCAAACTTGCCTGTTGTTACAATATCATTCTCTAACGCTTCTTTCCGCATTCTGTGTCCCATGAACTATGCCTGTCGCTTTCGTACATTCGTCTTAAGCTGTCGTCTGCACTTTGCTTCAACCAAGATTTCTTTATTTGTTTTTCTAACTGTTCATCAGATACACAACATGTGTCTCATGAACCACATCTCTGCCGCATCAGTTGTTCTTTCCAGCTATCTATTGTTTGTCCTTGCTTTGCATCCGTATAATAGGGTTGGCTCGATGTAAATTGTCATTATAATAAATATAAAACGCAAGGGAGAGTGAGGGGAGGGGGGGGGGGGGGGGGGGATTATAATAAATATAAAACGCAAGGGAGAGTGAGGGTAGTGGGAAATTGTCTTTTTGTAAAAGTGATTGTTTTTGACAGATGGTCGTCAGATTCAGAACAGGGGCTCTTGTGACCTAGAGGCTAAGGAGTTCGCCTCTCATTTAATATGTCCCAGGTTCGAATCCAGATAGCGACGGGAAATTTTCTTCTCTAAAATTGTCTCTTTTCACATCCTAATGTTCTGTTGTCTGCTTTCGTCTCCACTTTCTGCTCCCACCCCCTCACCTCATTTGCCTCATTCTGCAGCCTTTCTACTGCTACTCCGTGGCTCCTTCTTACTTCTGTCTTTCAGCCACACCCTTGATCTTATGGCAGGAAAGATCTACACCTAGCCTTCTCGGACAAGGGCTAAAATTCTTGGAGGTCCTGTGTGCAAGTTGTGCACGTTAAAGATCCCTTGGTGGTCCAAAATCGATAAGAGTAGGATTCGGCCACCACCCGGGCAAAATTCAAAATTTTCGACAAACTGAAAATGTTTAATGTGTCCCTCGCGCTCACATGACTGTATGCAGTTACGAGTCCCGTAAAACACTTACAAATAAAAGATTCAGAACAGTTTCAACTGTATTTAATTGGACTTCCAACTTTGCCAGTTAGCTTTGTTATAAAGAGAAAACATTATAGGAGACGAAAGTAGCAAAAGTATTTTTTTTAATCCTAGAAGTAAGAGATTTTACGCCTCAATGACGTCATTAAAACCATTTAGGTTGCAGGCTTTTACCTGACGGGTGGTTGGAGGGTGCCATTGGTAAGTTTTACGCCTTTTCTTTCCCTCAGTTTTTTCTGTTTACAATTGTCTTGCTTCTTCCCCGCACTAATATATATGAGGCAGCGTGATAGAATCAGGCTCTCGTCAATTTTTGGGCATGTAGAGTTATTGGTATCATCTTAAAGCTTGTTCATTTGCCTTTATTGGGATGAAAAAATGTTCATTTATCTTGAATTCAAGTGTAGATATTTGCGAAAGAAAGAGGTGGGTGTCACCTGTCTTCAGAGGTAAATTTGTAAGAAAATGGCCGCCAAAGATTAGTTATTTCCTTAGCTTAAGAGTCCATGGTAACTGAAAATTTACATTTTTTGTACCTTGAATCAACGTTTGTAAGAAAAGTCCACACAGAAATGAATTCTTTAATGGTCATGAAAAGCGTTGGGCCAAAAAAACAAAAATTTGATAAAAATGCATAAACCTGAATTTCTTCACTTTGATTATTTTGACGAGAGCCTGATTCCACCACGCTGCCTCACATATGGCCGTGTCAAAGCCCAATAATGTACCCAAAATTGCTCTCGCCAATTTAAAAGCCTCTGTCTGTACTGAGTACATGCCAAAGTGAACATATATTTGTTGATAATTACGTCAATACAACGCGGATGAAGTAAGTAAGCAAAATACAATATATATTATGGCCGCCGTTTCCATGGCAATCGAAACATAATGAATACACTTCTTTAACAATTGATTTTAAACAGCCAGTGAGGCACAATGTCCCACCGCATATATTATGGGTTTGCTTGGGTTTGTTATAGCCAAGATTTTTTAAATCTTTAGTACCCTCTCTTTACGGTGATGTGCGCAAACAAGGGGAATAATCATGCTGACTTTATAAATAGTGCACACTACCCTGTTACTTCCCTTGGAATAAGGGGATTCTCTCTCTCTCTCTCTCTCTCTCTCTCTCTCTCT